GGTCTTGAATATTATGACTCATGGAGTTTGAATGATTTCATACGGAATTTGGAATAACTTGAAGATAGTGCTGACAATCTGGCAGTTCTCAAAAAGAAAAATTTTATTACAAAAGATACTAAAGCTTCTATGTATTGAGATAAAAACAATGAATTCCAAAAATTCTGTTTCAAAAGTTATAATTTATTTGTTTTTCATTTATATTTAGAAGCGTTAGTTAACGTATTAAAACAAAATGCACATAAGGACAAAGACTGAAATTTGTTTATTTATTCGTCAAAACAAATTCTTTAAGTGGTTCTATTTTTTTATGTAAATACCCACGCATGGGTCCCAATGAATCACTCTACGAAGTTTAAGGGAAAGTTTTAAAATTCACAAATAGTGTTCGAGAAAATTAATTTCTTTAAACATAAATGGAAAGTTGGCATTGATCGAAAAATTTTAACCTTGATCCTAGATCAATAATCGGGATTTACAGAAAATTTCTGTTTTTAACGATTGTAGGATAGCAGGTACAGAGGCTATTACTAATGTTCTAAAAGAATAGTTAAAGAGGACAGACTTTGGTCTAAGATTTAAAAACAGTACATGCATACCCATGATTGATCCATTGAAAATTTTGTCACGACATTTTCATATCAAGCTTGGTCTCACATAGCAGTTTCTTAAAGCTCTGGATAAACAATAAGACAGTTATCAATATTTAGAAGAAAAGTTTTTTGCTACAAGTAATGCAAAATTAAAATCAGGTATTTTCGATGGTCCTTTACTATGTACTGCATTTTATGATGAAATTTTTACTACAAAGGAAAGTCAAGATTAACAGAATTTAGTCTAAAAGTCGATGAAAAGTTTAGAACGTTGGGATGCTTAATAAGTATTAAGCTGCACATTTTGGACTCTCATCTAGACTACTTCCCTAACAATTTTAGAGACTATGAACAGGACTGAGAATAAGAACTGTTCCGTAAAGGTATAAGTGCACAGAAAATGTTTGGAGTGAAACTTGTAAAGAACTGATTTGAGATCTCACAGCAAATGAACTAATTTTGATCAATTTCGTGCTAGAGACATTTGAGTTTTGAATAACATCATGAACACGCCCTTGGATTTCCTTGTAATGTTTCTCAATTTATGAAAATAAGGCAGTACATTTACTTTTTTTTATTATTTGCAAAGTGCGCATAATTCTTAGGGTTGTGAGCTTATAACACTTGAAATAAAAATTTAGCGACCAAAATAGACAAAGTATGAATTAAACTCAGGCCTGAAAAGTTTTAATCAACCTCTTAGTGCATTGAAACGCGATTTATATTACAGTTTTTCACAATTTTTCGCTGTTTTTATGCATTTAGTTAAAACAAATGATGATGTACGGCCACAAAGAAGATGTTAAATTATTATTGAGCGCAATCAAACACAAAAGAAACATGTTTCATAAATGATAAAAAAAAATTTTTCTTCTAATCTGTGCTTTTATACAGATGTAAAAAAAGTGGTAGAAAAGTTTTCAAAGTGTTGTACAGAGTTGTTTGATCCTGGACAAAACTTCTTTCAAGATGAAATAAACTTTTTTATATTAGAAAAAATATAAATCTTACTCTAAATTTTTTCATGTTTTAGTATTGTACAGTTAAATCATATCAATAGCTTAAAGTCATTATACTCTAGCTAAATCGGATAAAAAATTATCACAAAGTGTACGGATTCAGTAACACCTTCAAAAATTTTTCTCACAATTCTACTGTTCTTTCATCACATATCTTATTTTAATGATACGTCAAAAATGTAGTAATTATATCATTCCGCATTTAAAACATCTTAGTAGCTCAAGTTTCAAATGAAATATTTTACGATTATTTACTGTTCCTCACTCAAACTATTCATTTAGTTAATTTCTTACATTTGAGATTTACCACCACGATTTTTCTACATTTTTCAGTTCGTCGACGCATGTGCAACAATCATTTTCCTACTTAATTTTTTTGTGATATTTGGGTGTTTACAACGTCCTTGGTAGAAAAAACAGCATTCGGCACACAATCTCTATCTAATTACGACTACCTTCAATGAAAAAGGCCCAGTGATAATTGCGCTTGTATAACGAAAACTACTTTATCTCATTAGTTGCTATAAGATCCTAGATATTGCTTTAAAATGTATAAAAATTTTTCTTTAACTTTACCTGCTTTGAATGTTTCTAGCGTCAACAACTGAGATTCAACAAAAGGCTCAAACCAGAATCTTGTAGTGTTCATTATTTATAATAACTGATCGTCTAATTTGCTTCTTAAACCTGCAAATTACAAGTAAAATAATGAGTTTTCTAGTTTTCTAATAAATCACTTATTATCATAATAAGAATTTGATTGCTTAACACCACTGACTATAATACCCCAGGCTATTAAATTAGTTTTTTTAGGAAATACTGCTGCAAATTAATCTCTTGGAAAAATTCAACAAAAACTTTTTGGATCACTAAGATTTTACATGTTCACTTAAAGTTTAGCCAAAACTTTTATATGTTTCATTTTAATGACTTTTTTATATTTTTTGGTTATAGGAAAAATTTCTTCACAGGATAACTTTATAGTGTTGCTTATCTCGGATCCTCTTTTTGGATTTAAACGATAGACAAAATGTTACACATACAGTATTTACTGAGCTTGACTATTGCAACCCCTTTTTAACGAAATTTTTAGCTGTTCTACTGAGTAAGTATTGCAAAACTCATAGCTTAAGAGTACTATTTGACAGTCTTAAATTTTCAATCTCAAAAGATAATGCATACAACAGCATAATAAAAAAAATATGTTTATTATTTCTATGCAGATATTCTATGTATATCAAAAAATAATCATCAGCATCAACAGAATTCTAAGATCTGCATTGAGATTAGCGAAACAGATATGATGTTTTTATGGAGAATGTCGCTATCGGTATCTCAAAATTACAATACCCGCAGCTGAGACATAAGTAGCCATTGTTTAAACTTCGTAATGAACATTCGAGTTGATAAACAGAATTATGTACGGACTTGAAGTTCCGTTTGTACATATACGAAATTTTCAGCAAAAACGTACTTTCATTGGCTATCAGAAAAGTCCGTATTGTGCGTTGCGAATTTTGTATACACCATGTGACCACACCCTAAATCGAAAAAACAATATGAAATTATTAAAAACCGTAAAAATAAGTATTTACGTACCAAAAAAATTCTATTAACTCCTACGAAAATATAATTTTTTTCTGCTTTCAGAAAGTTGAGTGCCATATTTCTCCCGGGTGCGAAATCGCACTCTCACTACTTGAAAAAGAACGTTTTGCTATTCTCTGCGTTTTTGTTGCCCTTTCATTTGGCTAATGAGCAGTGAGGTTAACTTTCACTTGGAAGGTTATGTAGCATTTTCATTGCTAAAATATCAGTAAGTCATATTTTTAGCAAAGGAAGAAAAAAATTGCACACATGACTTAAAGAAAGACTACTGCATTGTCTTTCCGATGTTTGTCATCCTCGTTTTAAGTTTGGAAGTTAACTTATACTCGTAAGATAATGCTATATTTTTTCCCCTTGATGCGTCATGTACTATTTTTGGCCTGTATTGAATATAATTTCCTAGTATTTAATTATGTTCAAGATAAATTTGATATTCATCACAACCATACACAATAAAATTTTTAAATTTTTTGCAAAAAACATGTGTGTTGATACGTTGAGTTTTTATCTTAAGTACAATGAGCATTGGACACTTAAAATTCTGGGTAGTTTGTATATAAATAACAATACTGAAAAATAATGAAAAATCATGTATTTAAATGGCACGAGATGCGAGAAAATTGTTTTTTATACTTAAATACAGCGTTTCCTTTAAAATAATTGTGACATGTTACAAGAAAGCTCACATGCCTAATTTATCTGCTTTGAATCTCAAGATATGTTTTTTAGGTTTGACTTTTAATTTTTTATTTCTTACAACAGGCTCATTGCCTTTCAGAATAAATGTGCAGTGGACTTCACTTCCCCTTTATTTTAATAAATGAAATATAGCGTCCAAACCAAATCTGGCACCATGTTTCCATACCATTTTCATTTATATCGATTCTTCATTTCACATATATCTTGATGGATCAGTTTTCGTCGTTCTTCTCTGTAATCGAGATGATTAGTAAAGAGGTAAAGATGGAAATTTAAATAGTACGGTTTACTACTTATGAAGGATGCCAACTGTTCAAAATAAATCTTATCCAACTCCTTAATCAATCTCTGGTGATCTTGAAACCTTTCATTCCCTAATAAGTTCCACGAAACATTTTTAAAACTTAGCAACGCATCTTTCTTAATGACCTTTATCTTTGCAGTAAGCATTTTATTGTGACATAAAGTGCGTACTCAAGGACCGTCGAAAATTCCCGTTTTTAATATGTCACTACTTGCAGCAAAAACGATTCTCCTAAATATTTTGAGCAATCCCTTTTTTGTCTAGAGCGTGTACAAACTGCTTTATGAGACAAAGCTTGATGTAAAAAAAGTGGTAGAAAAGTTTTCAAAGTGTTGTACAGAGTTGTTTGATCCTGGACAAAACTTTGTCCTTTTTGGACAATGTTGCAGGACATAAAAATTACCTTTGTCCCTGCTATCCCACAAACACAAGAAACAAGAATAGTCAATATAGGATCAAGGTTAAAATTTTCAGATCACTGGAAAATATTTATTAATGCTTTGACTAACTAATTATCTCCACCAGTATATGTAAATATTCATAATTTTTTTCAGCTTTATAAGGTAAGCTAATAAGATTGATTCTTGTGTTTTCCCATTAAGAAGCAAAACTGTTTTAAAAATTTGTTTTGACGAATTTATAAAAAGGCTTCAATATTTGTCATCACACGCAAAATATTTTAATTCGTTATCTAATATTTTCACATCTAAAAAACCTTATCTATTTTTTTAATTTTTAGAAAATAACTTTAGAAAATAACAGTACCTTTGGTAAACAATTTTCTGTCATTCAGATTTGCTTGCAAATACTCTTTCTTTATATTTCAAATTTCGTTTCTTTTATTTCAAAAGAATGATCCACATCCATGATTTACAAAGCTATTATCTAATAAGACTGCTATTTTTTCTAGTCATCAAACCGAAAAAACGTTGCCATACGAGATGTCAGCTTCTCTGTCAAGTTCGAAACTTTGGCTATCTGGCATACAAAAACAGCAGTTTTTTGGCATAACGGTGCAAATGGCATATTATTGACTTGTAACTTACACATTTTTGTTATTCCTTATTGTTCTATCACATAACCATCGATTAACATAATCTACAAAATACGTGTAACACTCTAATTACTTTTGGGTTCAGTACGTCAACTTTGTAGCACTGTTTTTTTTAGGTCATAGGTCTTTTGTATTTTGTAACTCAGAGTTCACTACAAATGAAACAGAAATCATTAAAATCTTCGTCACATTTGTGATATACTCTACAAAGACTAAGTTATCTACCAATGTAGAGCTATGGTTTCTTGGTAACGACACGTAGGAGTCCGTTTTCTGATTCTGACCAGCCACCGATATTGGGGTTCCAAGTCCCTACATCGTGAAACACTGATTATTCCTGCCTGCCATAATAGTGTTTGCATTGTATTGTATTCAAACTCTCACGTATACCCATTGTAGGATTTTTACGTATCCTACGTCTCTTCTCTCTACCTTTTCATATTTTTTTCCGAAATTACTATCTTATTTTCCCCAAGTTTGCGAATCTTTCGTGCGGGCGCCTTGCAAAGTTCCCCTCAGACGACTCAGTCATCCATTCTACTGGATACTATTTACAGAACACAGCGATTGTCTCAAGCACACTCCATCATATTATCAAGTTTAATGGAAAGATATTTTTCCAACGAACCATGTAACTTGCTGTACCGACCTTTTTATAACAGACAGTGACTTTTATCCGATAAGCTGGCCAGGTGTTGGCTCTCCTTCAGAAAGAAAGCTTCTGGAGGTTCAGATATCACCAGAAAAATCGACGTATAAGAATCGGTTTTCGGCATCTTGAGGACTCATCCTATCGGAAAAAAACCGAAAAAAAATCTCGATAACTTTTGACTGAATTCGAACCCACGACCTCTAAAGTATCTCCAGACATGAAGCTAGCACGCTAACCACTAAGCCATCGAAGCTAACGTGCTATAATAGTATAAATGACGTTAATCTAGGGACTCTGCTGTTTAAACATTTTGCCAACCGTCATCACTTGGAGGTGCCCTATTAACAGGCTTAAGCAATCAGTACTCAAGCATTCTGAAATCGAAATTTAATGTTAATCTAATTCGCACTAAAAATTTCGTGGTGAGTTGAAGATTATCCGATATGAAAAGCCTTTATCTGTTTAATTAAAGTCTCTCTACGTATAACGCTTTAGTCGTAGAATATCACATCTGGCCCTGAATTGAATTCATAAAAACAATATTATTTTAGTTCAGAGACCAGAAAAAAAAAAGTTTTAAATAGTATGATAGCTTTGAAAATTGCAGATGTGGATCATTCTTTGGTGATAAAATAAATGAAACGTCACAAATATGCCAAAGAAAAAAGTGAGAATTATAATGAGGATGATAAATACTTTTAATTATCATATATAAACGGTCTTGAATATTATGACTCATGGAGTTTGAATGATTTCATACGGAATTTGGAATAACTTGAAGATAGTGCTGACAATCTGGCAGTTCTCAAAAAGAAAAATTTTATTACAAAAGATACTAAAGCTTCTATGTATTGAGATAAAAACAATGAATTCCAAAAATTCTGTTTCAAAAGTTATAATTTATTTGTTTTTCATTTATATTTAGAAGCGTTAGTTAACGTATTAAAACAAAATGCACATAAGGACAAAGACTGAAATTTGTTTATTTATTCGTCAAAACAAATTCTTTAAGTGGTTCTATTTTTTTATGTAAATACCCACGCATGGGTCCCAATGAATCACTCTACGAAGTTTAAGGGAAAGTTTTAAAATTCACAAATAGTGTTCGAGAAAATTAATTTCTTTAAACATAAATGGAAAGTTGGCATTGATCGAAAAATTTTAACCTTGATCCTAGATCAATAATCGGGATTTACAGAAAATTTCTGTTTTTAACGATTGTAGGATAGCAGGTACAGAGGCTATTACTAATGTTCTAAAAGAATAGTTAAAGAGGACAGACTTTGGTCTAAGATTTAAAAACAGTACATGCATACCCATGATTGATCCATTGAAAATTTTGTCACGACATTTTCATATCAAGCTTGGTC